TTGTAGCGAGTAAATGTTTTAGACTTTTCATGATTTAAATTAATATTCTTAAATTATGAGTAAAACACACAGTTTGTTATAAGTAAAAGCAATTAAAAGTTAAAAATAGATATAAACAACCTTTTCAATTTCTCCGTATCTATATTTGGGTTTGAATCCAAGTTGACCGATTATTTAGGTCAAAGCTTCCTTACATTTTGGTATTTAAGAAACTTAGCATTAAATCAAGTTAACAAAAAGGAGATAAATAATTGTCGATAAAAAAACAATGATGTATTATGAATAACCCTGTACTGTACCCTGTACTGTAAGACTGATAATTGCTTTGGCATCAGTTGCATCCGAAGACCCAATCTATACAAAATGGTTACCTAAAACCCTATGGGTGCTCCAGTCTGACTGCTCCATTCTGGTTCAATTCTTCTCTTCCCTGCTATCTTCATCACTGTGGACTCAAATAAACTATTACAACTTATTTTGTTCCTTCTGTTCTCCTAAATTTTTGAATTTGCCCCACCACAACTGTCTCTGATGTCAGCCTATGTCTACCATAGTTTTGGAAATTTTACCAATTTTCATGACACCTCCTACAAGCAAAGAGCATCCTACAAGTTCACTAATTCATTGTGTCAAGATTTTTTTGGACAAACTAAATAAAAATAAAAATAAAAATTATAATAATTAACATAAAACCAGTACATAGAATTATTAAAAATAATTATTCAGATTAAAGGGACAGACCGGCTATGTAAGGTAGTTGAACTGAGTTTGCAGTGTTGGGAAAAAAAGTTGTGTTAAAAAGTTTTATATGTCTCAAATGAATCCTAAAGAAGCTCGACATAACACTGCATACTCAGTTTAACTACCTTACATAGCCGGTCTGTCCGTTTAATAATTTATTTTGATCAGTCTTGAATCTGGTGGTGGTGGCATTACAATCAATTCCTTCTCTGATATCAAAATACAATCAAAACAGGGCCAGGTATATATAAATTGAAATGTTTTTTTATTACAATTGAAACCCAATACTACTTTTTAGAAGATCTAAATGTCTAGATATAAAAGTTTTTAAGAATAGCTATGAGGTAATGAAGTTAAAACCTTTGTGTAAGTATTTTAATCAATTACAAAATGTTTTTATATTTCCATAGATCGGTTTAATATGTCTGATGAAGGGATTTTATAGAGAATGGGTAAAGAGGTTTGATTTTTAAATACCTATATGTAATAACAAGAAAACTCGAAATAGAAAGACGACTTTATAGCCATAAAGTCGTCTTCCTATTTCAGAGTTATCACTATATATAAATGTATATATGTATCAGGTTAAGAGGTCCTGATGTAAGAATATATAAATATATATTTATAGATCAGGTTAAGAGGTCCTGATGTAAGAATGCTAGATCTACCAACAGTAAACACAACTAGACTCTCATCCTTCAATTCAAACAAAGACATCTTCCAGGTAAAGGAAAAATATTTAAAAAATGAGTCCTCGATATTGTTTTTAATTCTACACAATATTTCTCTTGATCAAATTCGCCTTTGCATGCTCGTTTCACAACATTATCCTTTAAAGGGAGTGTTCGCTAAACATGAAGGGGGGTATGCAGGGTTGGGAAAAGTTACGTTAACGAAACGGAGGTTTTCGAAAATTAACGGAAGAGTCCGGTAACAAATGGCGAAAGCCGTTAATTTTTAAATCGTTAACGAAATGGATTAGCTGTTTTTGAAAAAAATGTCGGTTAACGTTCATTTAAAAGCTAAAAACGGAAACGTTATTTTCTGATAAAAAAATGCTTGATTGTTTTTTTATTTTAAAATTTGATGTTTTAAATGTCGTCTCCAGTGTTTATAAACCGTTAATGAAATTTTTTTGCCGTTAACGTCGTTAATACTGTAATATACCGTTAACTGCTGTGTCATTAACGATATCTTTAACCGTTAACGAAATTTGTTTGGCCCTTCGCGCCATTAACGCCGTTAATTTTTTTAATAACTGTACCATTAACAGCTGGAAAATTTTCATTTAAAGTCGTTAATGAAATTGAAATTGTTAAATAACGGTAATTAAATTAAAACGGAGACTGCCGTCTGCGGAACGAAAATTCTGATATCGAATTGAATTCGATATCGATTGCCTAAAATCTACTAATTTTAATTCTTTATGTTGCGTCTACAAGAAATTTGTATGTGTCCTACGCTCTTCTGTATGAGTTGTTTAAAAAATGTCCTTTTAGACGCAACAGATATGATAAAAATAGAATTAGTAGTGATAAATATTGAATTCAATTCAATATCAACCTTTACCCCCCTTTAATTTTTAGCGAACACTCCCTTTAAGTCTGTTCAAGGATAAGAAATGTATTTTGATTATGATAATTATTAATAACTTAGAATGCAAGCTGTTTTCAAATTTTGTAAAACTAGCATGAAACATGACATGAATACTAGCTCTTCGCTCAGACATATATGTTTGTCTGTATATTTGTATTTATGTTAGCTATAGCTTGCCAAAGGCTGACATGTTTGGCTGAGGGTAACATAGGTTCAAAAATAATTTTTTTAAAATCTTTTTTTTTACATTCCACAAGTACGCCGCGCCGGGCACTTCAGCTAGCTTAACATAATTAGCATACTCGAGTTTTCTGTATATTCATCATATAAAATCGAAAGTGGACCACTGTGAACCATACATACCACTCTTTAGAAGAAAGGGCACTTGAAACTTGTAAAATTGTTTGTCTAGGTGTGTGTCTGTGAGTCTGGAAAGCTGTTCGTAGCTGCAGCAAGATCTAGTTGTAATGTAAACGTAAACATGTGCTAGTGCTAGTGCAGCAAGATCTAGTTGTAATGTAAACATAAACATGTGCTAGTGCTAGTACATAAAGATCTAGTTGTATTGTAAACATAAACATGTGCTAGTGCTAGTGCAGCAAGATCTAGTTGTAATGTAAACATAAACATATGCTAGGGATAGTGCTATCAAGATCTAGTTGTAATGTAAACATAAACATGTGCTAGTGTTAGTGCTATCAAGATCTAGTTAAGTAATGTAAACATAAACATGTGCTAGTGCTAGTGCTATCAAGATCTAGTTGTAATGTAAACATGAACATGTGCTAGTGCTAGTGCTATCAAGATCTAGTTAAGGAATGTAAACATAAACATGTGCTAATGCTATTGCTATCAAGATATAGTTAAGTAATGTAAACATAAACATGTGCTAGTGCTATCAAGATCTAGTTGTAATGTAAACGTAAACATGAGCTAGTGCTTGATAGTGCTATCAAGATATAGTTGTAATGTAAACATAAACATGACATTCAATAAAGTATGCCTCTATTTTTTTTCCAAAAACGACCATTTTCATAAAGTTCGTCGTTTTGTTAACGATCGTTAACGACAACACTTCGTTAACGATAGTTAAAACGACCTTTTGTTAAAGATCGTTGACATAATTGACAAAAAAAAAAATCAAAATCGATCGTTTTTCAAAAGCAATTTTTTTTAAAAATGACAATAGTATAAAAAACGGTCCCAAATCGTTTTTTTAAAAAATGACCGTTTTCAAAAACGATCGTTATTCGTTTTTTAAAAATTCAAAACGAGTGGGTCGTTTTTAAAAAACGTTTTTCCTAAAAAAGAAACGATCGTTTTTAAAAACGATTGAAAAACTAAACAAAAAACGATCAGTTAACAATCGTTTCCAAAAACGATTAACAACCCTAGGTGGTTGTGTATGGGAGCGTATTGTGGAAGGGAATTAAGGTGTGGTTGTGTGAGAGAGCGTATTTGTGAATGGGAAGGAAGATGTGGTTGTGTGAGAGATGTGTGGAGGGTGTTGTTGGGTGAAAGTTTGTGGGTGGTTAAAGAAGTTGTTAGTTGAGAGTTTGTGGATGGTGGAGGGGGTTGTTAGGTGAGACTTTGTGGGTGGTAGAGTCGGTTGTTGGGTAAGAGTTTGTGGGTTGTTGAGGGGGGTTGCTAGGTGAGGGTTTGTGGAGGGTGGAGGTGGTTGTTGGGTGAGAGTTTGTGGGTGGTGGAGGGGGTTGTTGGATGAGAGTTTGTGGGTGGTGGAGGGGGTTGTTGAGTGAAATTTTGTGGTGGTGGAGAAGGTTGTCGGGTGAGAGTTTGTGAGTAGTGGAAGGGGTTTTTGGGTGAGAGTTTGTAGGAGTTGGAGGGGGTTGTTGGGAGAGAGTTTGTTGGTGGTGGAGAAGGTTGTTGGGTGATAGTTTATTGGTGGTGGAGGGGGTTATTGGGTGAGAGTTTGTGGGTGATGGAGGGGGTTGTTGGATGAGAGTTTGTAGGTGGTGGAGAGGGTTGTTGAGTGAAATTTTGTGGTGGTGGAGAAGGTTGTTGGGTGAGAGTTTGTGAGTAGTGGAAGGGGTTTTTGGGTGAGAGTTTGTAGGAGTTGGAGGGGGTTGTTGGGGGTGATTTTGTGGGATGGTGAAGAAGGTTGCTAGGTAAGGGTTTGTGGATGG